CTGTAAATTAGTTCCTGGTGATACCTCTTTAACCCCTTTCCTCCCCCCCCCCTCCCCCCCCCCCCTACAATTCCTTTTAGTAAAGCTTCCTCATGGTTGTCTTTTACTGCCATCAGATTTTTTTCTCCTTTGTCATCATAAAGGATTCTATTGTTTTTTAAAATTTTCATACAGACTCTCTTTTATGTCTATTCTTGGTCCCTTTGCCAAGGAATAATATATTTTTATAAATATCTTCCCTTTTATATTGTTATACTTTATATTATTATTATTATTGAGAATCTAAAATTTTTGTGCAGAAAATCAAAGCAGAAGTATTGTAGCTATTTATTTATGTTAATTTTTATTCTTGGTTCTTTATGTTATTAAAAAAGCAGTCTAATATTGTTTCACTTTATCTCCGTTTGAATGCTTGTATTTCTTCCTGCCTTTTAGTTGCTCTTTTCAAGAAAGAAAGGAGAAAAAAGGGGTCCGAAATTGAAACGAAAGACAACGTATCCTTAAAGAGAGATATTAAAGAAGTAAAAGGTGTCAAAATACCTATGCATCCTCCGACCAATAAGCGTTCTATGCCTATGAAGCGAGGTGTATCCACTCAAAGCCGAAAAGATCAAAACAGAACTGAAAAGTCGAAATCGGCAAGAAAACCGGCTCCTCAAGTTCATTTAAAGAAAGCCAAGGCCAAATATCACGAAAACAAATATAAACAGATAAAAAGAACTGGAAAAGGCTTCAATGCCAAGCCAGACAGCCATTCACAACCTCTCCATAAACGTTCGTTTCGCACCAATGATGTGGATATTCATTTAGCTTCAACTGTTTCTAAGTCACTGAAGGATGATATCGCACGCTTTAAGGCAAAAAATGCCGCTATGGATGAGTTTGGCGATAGCCTCAATGCTGTCTTCAAGTTTGTCCCGCCAACAATCATTACACAGCACATATCACCAGAGGTGAGCTCCTTCCGAACTTATCTTCCAAAGTTTATGCGCAGCGCGCCGAACAATGTCGTGGCTTATTTAAGGTGGTATGAATGGAGTAACTATGAATTAACCAAAGGTAAGCACTTTCAGTCCGCGACATCTTCCACCACAAAGCTTCGGGGGAAGGGGACGAATGAAGATGAAGAAGCAGAGATAATAACCGATGAAGCACAGGGTTGGAATTCAGAAGGAAAGGAAAAGTTAAGCAACACCAAGCAAACCATGTCACAGACCTTAAAGGAACGTGAACACATGCGTGCGCTTTTGCAAATGTGTCTCAGACACAATACCGCCCGCCGCAAAGAGGGACTGCACGCTTTTATTAGGCATCTTAACAAGAGAGTTCTTAACGATGCGGTGAGCTGCAATACGCTTGATGAGCTTCGCACTACTGCACACCACTCCGTCCTCTACGCCCTGTCCCGTCTCTTGTTGGGAATGGTCTCAGAGGACATGGCCAAAATTGTCTTGAACTGTCATGCGCTTTACCTGGTCTTGACGCAGACACCTATCAGTCCAGCTGTGGTGCTGTCCATAATGGAAGAAGAGTTTGCGATGAAGGATCGTATGAAAGCCGTTCAGCTGCATCTTAGTCAATCGAAGAATCATAACAGCAGTACTGATCCCAACGACGACAACGCCGAGTTAGATCTCGATCCAGACGCAATCAACGACCCTACCAAAGGTGAGCGCAATCAACGTCTTACGGCAGCCGTGTTTGCCTTGGCTGCTATTGTGGCCGCAGGGGCTGGGAACATGAAAACCGAGCACGCGCGTCGTCTGGTTTCCTTTCTTTCATTTTGTTATGTGGAGCAAAAGGCCGCTCGTGTTCTTACAGGCAATTCTCTTTTCATGTATGTTGATCGCAACACACGGATTTACGAGGACAGCGAAGCCATGACATGGGTTGCGTTCGCCTTTTTTCACTATCCTAAGCTAGAGTACTTCCGTCCAGAGGGAATTCAGTTTTTGCTCCGTATCATGTCTATGGATCCGAAGCCGCCTCTGCACAACTTCCCGCAGACAATAGAGAAGTACGCTGCCATGGACCCGCTTGAGCCCGGAGTGATGGAGCAACTGATAAGTACCCTCTTTCGCAAAGAACAGGTCACTGCAGTTCACCCGATGGTACACCCTGTCTGGGATGATCTCTTCCAGCACATCTCGCTCCGCATCGCTCAGGGTGAGTCTATGAAGGAGCACTTCAGCACCTTTGTGCACACCGCGATCGCTCCTTACCGACGCGGCAGCGCGGACATCCCTCGGCGGGCGCTGTTCCAAGTATTGGTGACGCGGCTAGGCCAACTGGCGGTTAGAAACGAGGATGCGGCGCAGCGTGTGGAGCTGCTCCACATGGCTAGCAAGAATGTGGGGTATGGCAAGCACACCATCGCCAAGCCAACCCCCATTGCTGAGCTGAAAACCCTCACCATCGCTGCTCTGGACGCCAAAGTCGACGACCTCCTTCGGCAGTATCGGTTTACCAAGGACATCGACCCGGCAGCTCGGACGAACCGTACGTGGGCACTTCGTGAGCTCCGTAATAGCCTCAGCGTTTCACTCCGCAGCGATGTGCGGTGTGAATACGCAGACAAGGCCGCAAAGGCAATGCTAGAGATGGGTTTCTTTCCACCCCATCAGTCGAGGGATACTGCCAGTCAAAATCATTGTATCTACCTCTTCGCGGAGACCTTTTCCTTCACTTCGGACCGTCCACTAGCCCGTCCGAGATGCACCATGGAGGGCTTATCTTTGATAGCTACTTACCTTTCTGCAGAAGAAAAGGGCAAGTGTCGCTATACAACCGCACTGCAACACTCCAGTTTTCGTAAGTCCCGCAATCGAATTGTTGAGGCGCTGGAGAAGCATGCCGAGCGCAGCGTTTTGTTCTACAATATCCGCGATATAGAGGTCCTTATGGTTCTTATCTTTCTAGTTTTGAGCGTCGACGATGCCTCTAACCCTGCAGCTACTGAGATCGCCACCAGTCTCGTACCTGACCTTGTACAATTTTACTACACAGGTTCACTCGAGACCTTTGGCCTATTTTTCGATGTTTTAATGAGCCTTGCTTTGCGTGCGAGTTCCCCTCTGCATGTGATGCCACTCATGACCTGTATTCGACGAATTGCAATGCGGTTTATGCTGAAGTTCGCCCCTTTCATTCGCTCGAGGGCTACAATCGATATCCTGACGGATCCTCTGCGCGAAGCCTATCACACCGATACCCGAGAGCTGGCTCGACAGCAACGCTTAAAGAATGCCGAAGACGCCAATGAAAAGGAGGATGACTTTAGCAATGAAAGCAGCGAAGTTGAGAACGACCACATGACTGAGGGAAATTCATCGGATAATGATCATGCGAGTCACGTCAGTGAGGCCTCCGAGGCAACCCATAGCGAAGACGCGAAATCAACCTCAACGGTGCCCAATGACAGTGATGAAGATACCGAGGTGGAGGAGAATCAAGAGAGCTGCGAGTCGGCCCAAGATGGGAGTGATAAGGACACCGAGGACGTGGACGACGAATCGTCTACCGCGGCTACGGAGCTGAGCAACGACGATACGAGCAGTGATGATATGTCTATGGACACCGATGAGGCTCCCACACAAGAGTTTGTGGATGCTTTGAAAGGTATGATTGGCAATGCTGATCTTGACCACCAGTACGCCACCGATACCACCAATAAAGACAAAAGCGATGCAGCGTGGATGCTGCAGTTGGTAAGCCGCGTGGGGTCATCGATGCGGTCACCCCTTATAGTCCACATCTACCAAATTCTCTTGGCGGTATGCCGTGAAACGGTCAAGTCATCCGATGACTTAATCTTTAATACAGCCGTTTCCTCTCTTGAGACGTTGCTACTTTCTCAAAATCGATATTTTGGGCACTTCCTCCCCGCGATGGACCTTTTCCAACTCCTTGGCGATATCCAAAGCTACTGCAGAAAGCTTGAGAGCGGCCTCGCACGTGGTAATAAAGAGTTTGCCACAACCAAGAGCGTTAACATCGCGCTGCGCCGGTTGAAGGTGCTCAAGGCCCTGGCCTTGCGTGTCTTTCACTTTGTGAGCTTCCTGGCCTACAAAAACCACGCTGACGAGGAGGTTCGCATCACAATTTCAGAGTACTACAAATCCATCTTCTGCGACCGTGGCTGGGTGATGAAGCAGGTGCTACCGGGGTTCAAGAAAGATCTCTATAGCTATCGGCAGGGCTTTGTTTGGGCCCTTCTGCCGTCTGTATTTGAGAAATTTGACGAAGTGGTCGCACTCAACGCTCCACAGCGTGCACGCGTACTTACAGGCTGCTGTACGATCATTGAATCCCTTCTTAGCCGCTTCACCGGGCTCCCGGCAGAGCTGAAAATGAGTGCGAGCACCGCCATTTGCAAATTCCTCCAGTCCATTACACTGCCGCAAGTTTACGAAATGAAGCACACGTTGCCTTTTACCTATCTGCATACTATAAAGATGGTTCTGAAGTATAATAGTCGTGTTCATCTCGACCTAAGCTGGGTGGCCACCAACGTGGTAAAGACGGCGGTCGAGGATGAAAGTCTTCAATTTTCAAGCCCATCGCTGCGCGTTTTGTCGTCTATTGAGCATCTGCTTGGCCTCACACCACGGGCACTCGAAACGGTCACCCCAACCCCTGTCAAGGTTCTTTTTGAGCAGTTCAGCAAGACCGGTGCAGAGAAGAAGAAGGAATTTTACTCCAAAAACAAGAGGGCGCGAGCGAGGGTGCTAAAGGCTCTGTTAGCCTTCCGCAATCAGGATCTGACGGATGAGGAGCGCGCGCTCAAGCGACGTCGCCGTGAGGATCGGAAGGTGGAGGTTCGTTTCGAACGGCAGCTTGTGCGTGAAAATCGAAATGGCTTGCTCACAAAAGAAGAACGTGAAGAGAGGCGAAAACAATTCATGGTTGCTAAGCAGGAGCGTATCAAGAGGAATCGAGAACGCCGAATGCGTATACATAAAGCACGTCAACAGTCTTTTGAGAAGTGGCGAGAGGCGAAGTTGGCCGCCGCAGCTACGCGTGTTGCTGAGGATTACGACTCCAATGAGGAGTGAGAGTTTTTTTTGGCTATCCAAGGAAATTTGATTTTAAGTCACTTCTTTACGGTTAACGGACGGATTGGGACCACAAAGTTACCATTTTTTGTGCATACCACTCATGAAATATCTAATATAATTTCCGTTCATAATTTTATTAATTCTAAAAATTGTTGGTCTAAGTTAAATGAATAAACAAAAAAAAAGTATATATTTAATGTGTTTAATTAGACAAACATAAAATTTTAGATATGCATGAGCCACATTCTTTTCTCTTTGTATGTATTTCTTTTTTGTTTGTTCGCTATCATCACGGTCTTTTTTTGGTAGTTATCCTTTTTTTTCAAGTTTAAATACTTAGTATCTCCTGCTTTATTGTTATTATTATTGCTTGCTTTTCATTCAGGTATATTTAGATTTTCTTTTTTTTTCTATCTTATATAGATATATTTAATTTTGTTCTATCTTCTTCATACCCACGCACCATTTATTATTGACGAGGATTCACACGTACTTCGAGTGGGTTGATTATACGCAGGTTCTTAATATTTCTCAAAGGTAGTAGACAAACAACAACACCAATATTAAAGAAAAATAATTGTACACTAATCCTCACTTGTGAAGTCATTATCAACCCCGAGCTCAAAATGTTTTCTGAAAATTTCAATGCCAAGGCCGTAGGGACCTTCGAAAAGGTATGCGAGCAGGTTGACACTTACGCTAAAAAAGGCAAGGATTCATTCGAAGAAGTCAAAGAAAAGGCGGCAAATTTGCACCTTAACATCCACGAAGTTGTCGAGCGAGCCAAGAATACAGCTGATCCGTATGTGAAAAGTACTCGGCAAATAGCTGAGCATATCGTAGAGTCTGGAAAGGAGAGTACAAATTCGGTTACGTCTACAATACACAAGTGTGTGAATCACGCAAGTAGGATGTACAGCACCAAAAATGGAACTTTTTGCGTCGTCAGTGAATTGATTGCGATTTATGTGTTTGTATGGTGGTACATTATTACGCTTATACCCTTCGTAAGACATTTTATTGCACAGTCGTATAACACTGCAGACTCTCTTAAGATTGTTTCTGGAGTGGAGAAGCTTGCTTCTTTGACCCTAGAAGCCGTGGATCGCATCCCCGTTGTTGGTCCTCGTTTGCATGTAATTATTACATCATTTCAAAGCGAGATATCTCAGGATGTGAAACTCCTTATCGGTCAAATCTCAGTCAAGAACAAACACGAATAATTTTTGAAAAGAACATCTTCCTTACAATCAATATACATGTGTAAAATCACATGCACCATTTCTAATGAATCCATTTGAGTATTAGTTACAAATAAATTCACTTTTCTGTGAATATTGGTTTTGTGAAAGAAATGTACTTACATTCCATTATGTAATTCCATTTACAGATCGATTGCATGCTTTGTAAAATTTGTAAAAAATTTATGTGAACTTTTTTTTTTTCATATTATGCGGTTGATGGGATTCATATATAAAGGAGGAGTTTGAAGTTACAATGAGCATGCTGTTACTGAGTTCAGAAGACAATTAAGCAAAAGTCTTATCATTTATAATAGTTCATTCTATTGAAAGTACCGAGGATATATACCTGCATTCTAACTTCATATTATGTTTCATGGATGCCTGAAGTGTATCTCTTTATTTTTTAATTATATTTGTTGGTTCCAATCGATCATTTATAGACTTAATTCTATATCAGATGCTTCTGACGTTTTTACTTGTTGGACTTCCTTGTAAATATCATGAATGTCGCAAACACTGGAAGGGTTACTTTATATTGTAGCGAAAAAGAGATTTAGATACTAAGAAGCTAATACTGATTACATGAAATACTGTGTTTCCACGCACAGTAAGGTTAACTGAAGGATAGATTATGCAATAAATGATGTATTAACAAAATGATATATTGATCTTCTAAAGAAATCACACAAAAGGGGAAATGTATTTGTTGTATACCAATACAATATTTCACCTAAATGTGAGATGAGGTATTGTTATGGGAAGAAAATAATTAAATCCTTTTTATTGTTCTTTACGTACATCCCATTAACTAAAAGAAATTAGTATAATCTTTTGAGACGCTCCTTTCTATTAAACATAAGTAGCTTTACATTTTTTTCTATTTATTTGATGAAAAACTTAGTAAATATGTGTGCTATCTCGCATTAATTCAGCTTCCTTTCTTATGTATTTTCAATAGGCTTTTACCACTTCAGTATAAAAATTATCATTTTAAAATTAATTTATTCTATTTAAGATCTGTAGCTTGTATACACGCGTACATATTCAATTATTCATATTTACATTTCAAAGCGAACAACTTTAGTGATTTATAGAACTAACTTCTTCCTTATTATAATATCAATTGTAAAATGGAGACACATAAGCAAACTCATAAAATGGACAAGCCATCCGTGTCGTCTGCGTCAGGTTACTACAGCTACTCTTACACTGGAGATTCCTACAGTGGTAGCCAAAATTACAGCTACACCGATAGCTCATATTCGTATTCTTACTTTCCATATGAAATCGGAGGTGGAAGTCAAAAGGGTGGAAATCCCACCTCGTCATATTCTGGGTTGGAGTATTCATATACTGTGAGCGATCCCAATCTGGATTTGAAGAGACCCTCCGAGGCTACGACATCTAGCTCAACCGAAGAATCCATAGCAGATTACGAATACAGCTACTCTTCTTCGCAGAAATCTGTACACAAATGGGATGAAAACCCTTCTCAACCCATAAAAAGTGCCTCATATCCTCCCCAAAAGGATGAGGAGGTACCATCCTACAGCAACAGCTACGATTATTCCTCTTACTACTCCTATTCCGACTATACTTCTTCATTGACTGGTAAGGATGGTGTTACCTACAAAAATGCTTTTGATCGCACCAGTACTGAAAGTTCGAAATCCGAAAGAGGTGCTCCCATCAAAATTCCAACGAACGGACTTGGATCTTCCATCATGAAGAAATCCGGGTTGACTTTGAGTGACAGTAGCAGCTCCACAGGGTCGACATCCTATTCGTACTCGTATTCCTACTCCACCGAGAGTCTTCCCCTCCCACAGGATGATGCGGCCGACCTTCAGATGAATAAGGACTCTGCCAGTTATTCTTCTTATATTACCGAATCCGATCACTCGTCTTCATACAGCTACGATAGGAGCACAACCCAGTCCTACGCATACTCCTACTCCTATACCGAGTCCACCTATCCCAAAGAACAAACTCACCTCCAAAGCGATGATTATTCCTATTCCGTCACCACACCTTACCCGGCTCAGGCGAAGAAGATTTTATCGGACAGATTATACACCACGGATAGCTATAGCGCTACGGACTATAGTTCCTATTCTCCAACGTCGTCGGAATCGATTCCGATCGACTCCAAGCCCCAAAGCCCATCCATCTCATCCTACGAAGTCACGAGCGAGGGGTATAGCAGCAGCCCCAGCATCAACGAAACGGAGCGGTTTACACAGCGAAAACTCACAATCCTGAAGACCCCTGCGGAGTCGATTTCGGGGATTCCACCCATGCCCTCGCACTGCTTGGTGCGTCTGTGCACGCAGGAAGATACGGTACACCAACTTCTGAGGTCTCTGGTAGAGGTTCAGCAGAGGGTGGAGCTTCGTGCACAGTCCAATATTCTACCCCTCGAGGCAGGATCCACTGCAGCCGGTCGGCATATCACTTGCAACGTCCCATTTATTTCTTCCGGACCCGATCCCGCGAAGAAATTAGGCCCCCCAACAGCGCATCAAAAAAGTGCGCTGGATTCCAAAAGGAAGGACTTGGATGCGGGAAACCCCCGATCCGAGCCCCAGGTGGGGTCGCCAACCCCTAAGGGTTACTGCAGCCCCCAAACGGCCCGTGTGGCCCTTGGGGTCCTTCATCTGAACCACATCGAACGCCGGGAAGTCCTGCGGAAGGTGTCCATGCCCGTCGAGGAAGGGAGGCTACTGGAGATTGTAAACGCCTGCGCCGCCACGCGTGTGAGGGAGAGAGTCGCCAAAGCCTTTATCGCGCGAGACCCCAGCCGCTCTGGCGAGCTGCCGCTTTCCGTGGTGGGGGATCTCCTGCACTGTTTGGGGGTGGCGCGTAGCCCCATCATCAACGGGGCCTTTCGAATCGATGTCTGCCCAGTGAGCCTCGATCGGGCGCAGGAATTGTTTTTAACCATCGAAACCCCCAAACAGGATACCCACGTGAGCGATGTGGGGCGATGGGAATCACGCTCCATTCCCGTATGCGATATCGTACGCGATAGCCTGGCCGTCCAGCAGCCCATGTCCATTCGTCTTGAAGCGGAGAGAATCTTCATGGGTCCACTTGACATCTGCCATGGGGTAACCTCCCAAGCGTGTTTTAAGCGTTTAAAAACGTATCTTGAGGCGGCCACGTACGTCTGTGTGCTCGTCCATTTCTTCAGTTATGAGGACAACATCACACACGAAGTGAAGGTGCACTACCCGAAGCTGCTTCGTAGTCTGCTGGCTCCGAGCGAACTCAAGGGGAGGAAGTCAATTTACTTGGAGAACCTCTTCCGAGAACTTTATCAGATTGTCCAGCGAGTAGAGGAGTTTGCGAATGGTCAAAGGATGTCGACTCAATATTGGGGGACCGATTTGATCGAATCTACCCTTTACGGAACCCAAAATATTGAGGAGAAGAGGCGGCGCAACGTTATCCCGAACACCTCCCCTGACCTCCTGGAATTCCAAACCACACCAAAAGGAACCGAAGAGAAAACAACGATATCTATTTATGTCGAAAAAGTGCGTATTGCTGACGCCCTACCGAGCAACGCGTTCTGCTATTGTCTCCTGAGCGCGATCACGCATGATAACGTCTTTTTGCCTGCAGTCAGAGTCCCTATTCAGACGGTGCGTAAATCAACGAAGGGGGGGTTCACCTGGGTTTTTGACAAAAAAGAAAAGGGTGAAATTCTGTTTGTGGGCCCGCGTAC